TAATAAAATTTTGTAGTATAGCCCTTTAAAGTTTGTATTTTCTTATGATTTATTATAAAATTTATAACATAAAAATTAATCTTCCGAAGATCTTTTGTTTTGTCGATTTCCCCCTTTTCTGTAGCACCAAGCCCATATATTTTGCTGATGTATATATAATATCTGTAATGTTCAGTTAAATAAATAATAACATTAATAACAAAATCGTTGAAGTTTAAAAAAAAATTGGTGGGGTATTGAGTAGAGGTAGCATCAACATTAAAAGTATAGAGAACGAGACAGTAGGGGCAATGTTGATCAGCTTCTTGATTTTGAGATTCTACAAGACACAAAAGACTATCAGTATTTGAATGCTATCTTTCAGAATGATAGACAACTGTAAATTTGTACTCTTGTAAAAACATAATCTACTAGGCAAGCCACCCTTTGGGCAGGGAATTTCTTAACAAAGATTTAAGAGCTGAGTGATTGGTTATCAAAGTAAAATGGCTCCTATTAAGATACTGGTGGAAATAAGAAATTGTCCAGACAACTGCAAGGCACTCTTGTTTTGTAACTAAATAATTCTTTTTGGCTGCTAATTAGATTTGACTAGCATAGTGTATGACTCTTTCTCTATCCAAAGGTCTTTTTGGGAGAGTATAGCTCCAAGTGCTGTACTTAAGACATTGGTGAATAGTAGAAATGGCTTATCAAAATCAGGATAAGCCAAAATAGAGGCGGTAATTAATTTTTCTTTAAGGGCTGTGAAGGCAGTTTCCTGAGTAGTGGTCTAAGAGTACTTAGTATTTTTCTTTAATAGAAGATGAAGAGAAATGGCAAGTTAAAAGAAATTACGAATAAATTGGTAGTAATAGGAGGCTAGATCTAGAAATCTATATAATTAATGGAGATTAGTAGGTGTTGGGAAATCTCTAACAGCTTTTACTTTATACGGATCTGTAGAAATCCCTTTGATGTTGACCACATAGCCAAGAAACTTAAGTTCTCTTTTGGCAAAATGACATTTCTTTGGATTTAACTTTAGCCTAGCTTTTCAAAGTCAATCCAAAACTTTGGCAAGATGGACCATATATTCATCAAAGAAGGAGGAAAAGATATTCAGATCATCTAGATAGACAACAACAAATTAACTGATAATATTATTGAAAATTTGATCCATGAGCTGTTGAAATATGGCCAAAGCATTAGTGAGGCTGAAAAGCATTACGTTGAATTCAAAGGTTCCAAATAGGGATATAAAGGTGGTTTTTTCTTTATCCTTTAGGTCCATTTCGATCTGCCAGTACCTACTAGCCAGATCCAAGAAGGTATATCAGGATGAAAAGTGAAGTGTATCCAGAAGGTCATTAATGCTACACAAAGAACAACTATCCTTCTTTGTTATTGCGTTGAGGCATTGATAGTCAAGACAAAACTGAGTTTTGTCTTTTTGTTTCACAAGGACTATGAGGAGGCCACAGACTCTGGAAGAGTTGAATAATTCATCATTCAACATTCTGCTAACTTTTTTTGGAGAAATTCTTTTTTTTTGAGAGAGGTCCAGTAGTATCGCTATCTAATATGTGGGCATTATCAGTTCGAATAATATGGGTAACGAGGTTAGTTTGTTCTAAATCTTGAGAAATCCAAGCAAAGAGGTCACTATAGACTATTAATAGCCCTTCAAGCTCGCTATGCTCTTTGTTTTCAAGACCTCTGATATTGAGTTCATAGATGGGTTCTTCTTTATCGAAATAGAACTTGAAGTTTATTCCTTCTTCACCATCATCTGAGCCAGAAAAGCCCAAATTAGAACTGGAAAAGTTTTCCTCTTTTTCTTCATCAGAGCTGAAGCTGCTCAATAATACTTTATTTCTATAATGAGTATAGTATGTTTGATATTCTTTTTTTGTGTCAGAGTATCTGAAGATCTTATCTTCTAACTCCTCTTCCTCATATTTACTTTCTGTTTCTTTCCTAGAAGTGAAACTGCCAACTTTTTCAATATTCTCAGGTGCAGGCTTGGAAACATTTGGGGGTAATCATTTTGAATAGGAGTATGTTGGAGCTTTCAAAATTTGACTGGAACTATAATTTTCTTGTTTTCCCAAAAGGTCATTTCTGAAGTGGTGAAGTTAATTCTTTTAGAGCTAATCATTTCTAATAATAGCATTATAGGCCATAGTATCAGTCACAACTACATCAACAGGAACCAAAGCTCCTCCAACAGCAAATGGGAAGTTGGAAATTTCTCCTATAGCTCTTTTACTTTGACTATATACACTTATCATATTTATTGTCAAAGGGCATTCTACCTTGATCCTCAATTCACTAAGTAGGTTGGAGGTAACTACACTTCTGGAGGAACCACTATTGACAATGAGCAGAACAACCCTATTGTAAATAGTAGCATTACAATATATAGCCATGGATTTTGAAGTAGGATTGAGGTTAGTATAAGCTTATGCTTTCTTTTTCTGCAGATTTCTAGAGAGTTCGGTTCTTATAGATAGTACAGCCTGTAATAATTGCTTCACCATAATGTTGGCTGGTTTGTCTCTAATGTCAGCTACAATCAAGTATAGAAGAACCAAAGCTGAAATTTGTAGTAGATCATTTTCAATCTTTTTTCTTCTAATAGGGGCCAACTTTTGGTTTTTGCATTCTTGGGTTCTTGGAGAACTATTATTACAAGGACAGAGGCTTCCTGACCAATTTCTGGGAGTTCAGAGGCAGATTCATCAACTTGCCATTTTTTACTACAAGTATGTTGAGATAGTTTTTCAGTTTCTTTCATAGGGAAGAACAATGAGTCCATAACCTCTTCATGGAGGTTTAAAAATGTCACGGATTCATTGCACCATTAATTTGTCCTACTGGGATAGCATTGGCTCAGGTAGCTACATTGTTTCTAGAATTTTGAGAAGGTGGGTTGGGACAATTTCTTGCATAATGTATAATGTTCTGCTTGCCTACAACGATTACAGGTAAATCGATTGGGTTGTTCTAGTTATTGGGACTACACCTTGGAGGTTCTCTGCAACTTTGTCATCATGTTGATAATGGCCTTAGTTAACTTTACAAGGGGTCTTTTGGCTTTGAAATAGTAGGTAGGGCAGCAACTATCATTGGGTGATCTGGAGGGGGCAAATTCATTAGAGCTTGGGCAGGTACAATTCCAATATAAGTAGAATGGATATTAGATAAATAGGGGTTATAACTAAGAGGTTTTGTTTAAACAAATTTTTAAAGGCTTTGGCCCTTTCATAGGCAGCAGCAAGAGAATTTGGCATAAAAGGAGTAATAAAGTTACAAGTTCTGGTTGTAGTCCATTTATAAATATTGGGCTTTGGCTATATTGGGATAACAATAACTTCCTGACTTAACTCTTTGAAGCAATTCTTCGATCGACACATAGTAGGTGTCAATGTCTTCGACTGGGCCTTGTTTCCATTGTGTCAGCTAAGCAAACTATTTGCTCTCAAAAGCTAGAGTTTGAAACTGAGTAACAAATTGTAAATAGAAACTTTGAGGTTAGTTATCATAGTCGTTTTACTGATTAATGAGGCGGATATTTCGAGCATTAACCCACTATGTAGTAGCTATGCCTTTTAAGTGAGGAATACTACAGGAATTTTTTATTGATCCTGCACCTGGTTAGCCTCAAAAGCTTTCTCTATATACTCTAAACAGCTTATAGTGTCTTGTTCACCACTGGCAAAATTGTGATAAGACACTAAATTAAGCTCTCAGTTCTAGATGGCAAATTAATAGCTAGAATATTGATTTGGGGTACCAGAGTATGCTGCATTTGCATAACCAGAGCCCCAATCTGTTGTGCAAGAAGAGTTACTGGGTTATTTTGGACTTTTGGTTGCCAAAATGGTTGTGCTAAAGAATTGGTTTGATTGATTGGGCTAACTATCATCATTAGAATCAATAAGAAGAGGAACTTGGTTTTGGTTATTTTTCTAAGCCATATTATTATTATCTGAAGATCTTCTTCCAAGGTTTCACTATTATAAGCATCTGCTAATAGATCTATGTTAAGGGTAGGGGGTATGTCAATCATTTTTCATATGATCTTAGTGTCACAACGTGATTTTTACAAAAATTTGAAATATGCTATTAATAAAACTTTTCA